CAAAGATAACAGTTTGGACAAATTTCACTAATGTGACTGTCCATGCTCAAATTGTACCCCAAGAGGACACCTAACCTCTTCACAGTGTCCCATGGTACAAATATTGCATCTCGTACAACCACATCATTTGAACTTGTATTTTTCAGATGTGTATTTTGACCACATAAAATACATTCTGATTTACTTAATTCAATTAAATTTAATGTCATGTGTACACAATTTGATGTCAGAATAATTAGGGAATGAAACAATTTTTGAAAGGGAATAACTTGCTATCAGCTGTGTATCATCTGCATAAGAATGTCGTCCTAGAAACCATGATTATCGATTAGTTAGTCACAAATTCTTAGTATACATTACAGAAAGGACAGGTCCAAGGACAGATTCTTGTGGAACTCCCGAATCATCTGTACCGGCCCTACACAGTATTGCTGGAAGGCGGTTACATGGGGCATTATCAGGCCTAATAATCCAGGCAACGAATGATTTTATTGGAAAAATGATGTCAAAAATGACGTCATTTTCTTCAAGTTTGACCATCGAAGTTAATATGAAAGAAATCCGTGCCAGTCATTTTGTCAAAACCAAATATTAGTATTAGTAGTCCTCAACTTCCATTATTAATAGAATTTTCCTCAGCCCCGTAGTGGGTGAGATATAGCATCATGAAATTTATATGTTTTAGCATATAGACGAAGAATCCTATTGATTTTCAGCAATTTCCGATAATTCTTGCCAGAGTTATGGCCCTTGATCACTATGAAAAATCTTGTGGACACTCTAGAGGCTAAAGTTAATATCCGATTGGCTTTAAATTTATACACAGTGTTTAATGGTCACGAGACAAAGAAGCCTATTGATTTTCATCGATTTCCGATAATTACTGCCAGAGTCTTGTGGACGCTCTAGAGGCTAAAGTTAATATCCAATTAAATTTATACACAGTGTTTGAGGCCATGAGATGAAGAATCATATTGATTTTCAACGATTTTGGATAATTACTGCCAAAGTTATGGCCCTTGATCACTTTGAAAAATCTTGTGATGCTCTGGAGGCTAAAGTTATCATCCGATTGACTTCAGATTGATACACAGAGTTTAAGGTCTTGAGACGAACAAGTATATTGATTTTCAATGAATCTTTATGACTTAAACAGCTAAATCCATGATGTTAAAAGTTTCGTACTAAATGTTAGCATGGGGCAGAACTTTATAAAAACCAAACAAATTCTAATGGTTTTCTGATAATTACTTAATGAGTTGTTACTCTTAATCAGATTTTAATGTATTATAAATGTTTCATTCCCGAAAAAAGTAAAAATATGCGACAACTTGTTGACTGCCCGGACGATATAGCTGCTGTGGGCGTAAGTTACGTTGCCTGGCAACCTATCTGTTTTAAATTTTGCATGATTCTCTCGCGAACTCATTTCATATCTACATGTGTTCAGCAAGGTTGACGGTGACTTCTGCCTATGTGTGCTTAAAAACAGGACATGAAGGCATTTAATTCATTTGTGATTTAAACCCGAAGATATATTACTTGTTCAGGTGTGTTTTATCAATTTAAAATGCATTGTGTAACTTATTTGTCAGAATGGAAATGGCTATTTCAATGGACAAAACTTTCGCCCACGGTAAGACCAGCATCTATGTGTGTAAATTTTGAAATTTTCATAATTTGAATGAGTTTGAAATAGTTGATCGATGTAAGTCTTAAAAATGTCGAACATATTGATGAAATAATGTATCGGTACAGTGATAATTCTGTTTATTTTATTATTTAAAAGCCTGTTTGATATTTGTTATTTTTCAATATAAGCCAGTAAAATCTGAGTGTCTAACCGTGTTAAATTAACAATATTTTTTTTTTGCATGCTGTATTAGCTGATATTCGACTACGATATCACTGCCGTGGAATCGCACGATAAATAAATTTTGAGCTTGGCCAGAGCGGATTGATTAAACATGCATTATGCAAGAGCAAGATCTGCTTATTACAAGTCTTTCTTTAGGCCTGAAATGTTATCTAAATTATCAATTAGACATTAATTAACTTATCCAGACCATAATAAACTCTCGATGTCAAGGCTAGCCTTCGATGTTGGCTGGATTAGATTCCTATATGCCGCTAACGGCCGTTGATAATTAAATCAGAAAAAGTGGATAATCGAGACTATGCTGTTTATAAAATGATTTTAGTAATGATGACCGAGACTATGCAAAAATTTCACCTGCTTCTTTCTCAGCTCATAGTGGATCAATTTGACTGAAATTTCAGCAAATTACCGTTACACTATCATGTGGACGTATATTGTCGTCGCCCCTGTCCGTCCGGACGTCCACAATTTGTTTGTGGACACTCTACAGGTCACAATTCTTATCTGATTTTGACGAAACTTGAAATATAGGTTTATCTCCAAAAGATCTCGGCTGCTTTCGATATTGGCATGTATCGGATCGAAACTTCATGGATTATGGCCCCTGTTTGTACGAAAAATCATGTTTTAAGCTTGTGGACACTATAGAGGTCACAATTTTTATCCGATTTTGTTGAAACTTGAAATGTAAGTTGATAACCCAAAGATCTCGGTTCCTTTCGATATTCGCGCATATTGGACTGTAACTTCCTGAATTATGGCCCCTGATTGTACGAAAAATCACGTTTTTAGCTTGTGGACCCTATAGAGGTCATAATTTTTATCCGATTAAAAAAAACCGTATTATTATATCACCGTTACACCCTAAGGACGGCTGAGTTCCAATTTCGTGAAAATCGGCCCAAAATTGACAGACAAAATGGCCGCCGTTCGTTCTCAAATAGCGTAAAAATATGATATATCAAGGTTGTGGACCCTGTAGAGGTCACAATTTTTATCCGATTTTGTTGAAACTTGCAATGTAAGTTTATAACACAAAGATCTTGATTCCTTTCGATATTTGCGCATATAGGACCGTAACTTTATGAATTATGGCCCCTGATTGTACGCAAAAACGCGTTTTTTGGCTTGTGTACCCTATAGAGGTCATAATTTTTATCTGATTTAAATAAACGTGTTAATATATCACTGTTACACCCTAAGGACGGTTGAGTTCGAATTTCGTGCAAATCGGCCCAAAATTGACAGATCTCGGCTGCTTTCGATATTGGCATGTATCGGATCGAAACTTCATGGATTATGGCCCCTGTTTGTACGAAAAATCACGTTTTAAATTTGTGGACACTATAGAGGTCACAATTTTTATCCGATTTTTTTGAAACTTGAAATTTAAGTTGATAACCCAAAGATCTCGGTTCCTTTCGATATTCGCGCATATTGGACCGTAACTTTTTGAATTATGGCCCCTGATTGTACGCAAAAACGCGTTTTTTGGCTTGTGGACCCTATAGAGGTCATAATTTTTATCCGATTTATAAAAACGTGTTAATATATCAATGTTACACCCTAAGGACGGCTGAGTTCAAATTTCGTGAAAATCGGCCCAAAACTGACCGACAAAATGGCCGCCGTTCGTTCTCAAATTGCGTAAAAATATGGTATATCAAGGTTGTGGACCCTATAGAGGTCACAATTTTTATCCAATTTTGTTGAAACTTGAAATGTAAGTTTATAACCCAAAGATCTTGGTTTCCTTTCGATATTCGCGCATATCATCAGACCATAACTTCCTGAATTATGGCCCCTGATTGTACGAAAAATCGCGTTTTTTAGCTTGTGGACCCTATAGAGGTCATAATTTTTATCTGATTTAAAAAAAACGTATTATTATATCACCGATAACACCCTAAGGACGGCGGAGTTCAAATTTCGTGAAAATCGGCCCAAAATTGACAGACAAAATGGCCGCCGTTCGTTCTCAAATAGCGTAAAAATATGGTATATCAAGGTTGTGGACCCTATAGAGGTCACAATTTTTATCCGATTTTGTTGAAACTTGAAATGTAAGTTTATAACCCAAAGATCTCGGTTCCTTTCGATATTTGCGCATATCGGACCGTAACTTCCAGAATTATGGCCTCTGATTGTACGAAAAATCACGTTTTTAGCTTGTGGACCCTATAGAGGTCATAATTTTTATCCGATTTAAAAAAACGTATTATTATATCACTGTTACACCCTATGGACGGCTGAATTCGAATTTCGTGAAAATTGGCCCAAAATTGACAGACAAAATGGCCGCCGTTCGTTCTCAAATAGCGTAAAAATATGGTATATCAAGATTGTGGACCCTATAGAGGTCACAATTTTTATCCGATTTTGTTGAAACTTGAAATGTAAGTTTATAACCCAAAGATCTCGGTTCTTTTCGATATTCGCGCATATCGGACCTTAACTTCCGGAATTATGGCCCCTGATTGTACAAAAAATCGCTTTCTTTTTAGCTTGTTCTCTATCCATGGGCGTATTCTGCCTGGCAGCCGCTGGTTAACTATTATAGCGAGAACTGCCATCTCTTTATCTTGTCTCCCATAATGTATCTTTAACTGACGTCCGCGATTTTTCATTTCCGGCCAGGTCGGACCTCGGTAAAATTTAGTACTTCCGCTAGAATAGTACAGTAGTACTAAAATCAGGAAATCTGGGATCCTAATATCCAATATTTAAGACACACTGAACATTTTAAAATCAGCACCATTTGTAACGAAAAAAGAAAAAACAGACAATGCAGAAGTAATTAGTAATGGCGATACACAAATGACAGATTGATAATTAAAAAAAAAGTGTAGAATGGACAAAGCAGTAGTAAACGACTGCTTTTTAGTTTGAACTGTTCGCAAATATATATATTTCACTGCACATGGTTAATTAAAAATGACAATAAAACTGAATTTAAATTCATTATGTACATTCATATTACGTTATTAATATGTGCTTTTAGACCCATTTTCTTCTATAAATTCAATGTTCCCAAAGAATAGAGCCAAATGCCCTTTAAGCCCACACCTAGGGTGGTTTAAATGTTAGGTATTATTTTGTTTTCATGTTTGTATATTAACAGGTTTTAGAAGAAGAATTAATAAGTAAACATATGAAGACAATTGTTGAGGTAAATAAATGTCTTATTCTTTCATCTATCACTACAAATATGGTATCGTTTAATATGGGTTTTAGCATTGGTTACTATTCATACTGTTTAATTTCAAAACCCCGTTCGATAATTGATAAAAATCGTTGAAGAATAACAAAAATGGTTTAATTAGTACTATGGTTTAGATTTATGGCAATGGCTTTAGTTTCTCTGAGATGCGGTTAAAAATGGACTACCCGTGCACTTATCTATGGCGTTCATTTATTGGACGAGTCGTTGAATTTCCCGAGATGCGTTTAACACACATGCCAACTATTCCGATTTTGTCGGATTCATTCCGATTTTCTGAGTCTAATTCTGAATTCTGATTTTACTCTTTATAATTCCTTTTTTAAAATTTATTGGAAGAAATTTATTATATTTCATTCCTGACCTTTTTGATTGATAAAATCCCTCTCCTTTTATTTTTACATTGACGACTGTCAATTGAAAATTGTGTTTGTTTTAATATGCATATGTTTTCTTTGATTTGAAATAATAAAGTGTTATGTACTTACCTATGGTATTGTTTCATCATAAAGCACATCAAAGAAAAACAATTAACTTGATGTAATAAAGACAAATATTTGCTAATATGTACTTGAGGATATTCTTAAGTTATATATATACTCACCTATAAATTGTTCGCCTCTTTGTATTGTGATTTAATCATTAATAACATATTGTCTGTATTATATTTTTAAAATGAATAAGTCAAGACTTATAATTTAATTTAATTGGTCCGTGTGGTCCTTTGGGTTGGTTCGAATAGCAAAGATAAATATGGGTCCGATATTATGCAATATTGATGCAGGTTTTTTTTTTTTTTTTTTTTTTTCTAACAATATTTATTCAATATTTTCATATTATAAAGATACAATATTTGATTATGGGATCTGAAAACAAGCCGTACAGATATATAAATGCATTGTTTATAATTATAATCACGATTTACATACAATTATAATTACAAAAGCAAATGCAGGTTCAATCAAGAAACTTGCGTGTTCACCGTCTAGTATAACTTTCGAGCTTCTGATATCTAGATTTTAAAGCTTATAGATTGCAGTTACACAGGGTACATGTATATGCAGTAGGAAATCGGGAAGTTGGACGTACAAAAGAATGGAATCATTCAAAAAGTGTACTCAAAATAAGAAAATTATAACAGAGTTTAGGCGAGAATTACATGTAACACATTCCTGGACATTGTATTAATATATGACATGCACATGTAATGTAAACGTATGTGTGTGTGAAATGGCTTTATTCAATATCCGCTTTCACCGAAATGAATTGGGCGACATTTAAAGTAGATGTATATTGTCACAGCGAAGATTTGTCACCGAGTAACACAGAGTAAGAATATAGTCCCAATCTTCTGACCACGTGACTTACCGTGGAGTGATTTGCGGCACTGTGCTCTATGAATGATCGATTTAGATTAACTGAAGCTGCAAGTAATGTGTAAAAGCTCATCGTATGACGTATATAATTTAAAGTTTGGGTTTTATAGCAGCCAATAATTGATGGATTACATCTAAGTTATAGACGAAGATGTAATGATACAATTTAAAAAATTGTAAGTTGTTCATTGTTGCATACATTTTGGCTGACGTTATATGAATGTACAGTGCATTAGAAAAAAATCCTAACCGATACAGAATGCCGATAAATGTTTTCCCGAGATTACCTAACTCATTTTGTTGTTATTCAAACCGGCCTGTACATTATACATGTACACGTTTCCGCGGCAGCATTACTGTATTACAACTCCTTCAATTAATTATAGACAATATTATTTCGACCCTAGCCTCTCGCGAATTACTTGCGGGAAGCATGGCAAAACACGATGTAACGTATCTCGGGAAATTCAACGGCTCGTCTAATAAATGAACGCCCTAGATAATTGAACGGGAAGTCAATTTTTAAACACATCTCGGGAAATTCAACGGCTCGTCCAGTAAATGAACGCCATAGATAAGTGCCTAGGTAGTCCATTTTTAAATGCATCTCGGAGAAACTAAAGCCGTTGCCATTAATCTAAACCATAGTAATAATTAAACCATTTCTGTTATTTTTCAACGATTTTTATCAATTATCGAACGGGGTTTTGAAATTAAACGGTATGAATAGTAACCAACGCTAAAAACCCCATATTAAACGATACCATATTTGTAGTGTATACCTCTGTGCTTTATATGTATTGGAGTCAAAGTTTAGTTTATGTAAAATATACCAATGTACAGGAATGTACAAATGAAAATAAATATTACTCTAAAGTCTTTTCTACCAACATTACATCAAATATTTTTATACGCCCACATTTTCATGTGGAAGTATTTTGTCGTCGCCCCTGTCTGTCCCTCCGTGTGTCCACTCGTCCGTTCACAATTGTTTGTGGACACTCTACAGCAGTGGTGGGATTTCAAAAATTTTCTTGTCGAACATTTTACGGAAAATAAAGGGGCATAACTCTTATCATTATTTAAGCAGAAGAATTCATACCACAATTAAAAATCACACGTCGACAAAATAATCAAATCCCGTACGTAATAAAAATTCATATTTAATTCCCCTACCGGTACGAATTCAATTCATACCACAATTAAAAATCACATGTCAACAAAATATTCAAATCCTGTACGTAATAAAAATAAGTGAACCTCGCTATTTTTCATATTTAATCCCCATACGGCATTCAAATTTATGTCAGTAACATTTCTACAAAATTAAGTATTTTCGTAACACATTGAATGGAAGCTTGCCGATCCTGCTTCGGCATCAAATTCAAAACCATAATATTACTTCAAAATTAGATGTCTTCGTTTATACGGTAGCAAATGAATGCACAAGTTTGCGATGTCAGAATATCATTTTTTATACGCCTACATTTTCATGTGGACGTATTATGCCGTCGCCCCTGTCAGTTTGTTTGTGGACACTCTAGAGGTCACAATTCTTATCCAATTTTGACGAAACTTGAAATATAGGTTTATCTCTAAAAGATCTCGACTACTTTCGATATTGGCATGTATCGGATCGAAACTTCAGGGATTATGGCCCCTGTTTGTACGAAAAATCACGTTTTTAGCTTGTGGACCCTAGAGAGGTCACAATTTTTATCAGATTTTGTTGAAACTTGAAATGTAAGTTTATAACCCACAGATCTCGGTTCCTTTCGATATTCGCGCATATCGGACCGTAACTTCCTGAATTATGGCCCCTGATTGTACAAAAAATCGCGTTTTTAGCTTGTGGACCCTATAGAAGTCATGATTTTTATCTGATTTAAAAACACGTATTATGATATCACTGTTACACCCTAAGGACGACTGAGATCGAATTTCGTGAAAATCGGCCCAAAATTGACAGACAAAATGGCCGCCGTTCGTTCTCAAATAGCGTAAAAATATGGTATATCAAGGTTCTGGACCCTATAGAGGTCACAATTTTTATCTGATTTTGTTGAAACTTGAAATGTAAGTTTATAACCCAAAGATTTCGGTTCCTTTCGATATTCACGCATATCGGACCATAACTTCATGGATTATGGCCCCTGTTTGTACGAAAAATGACCTTTTTAGCTTGTGGACCCTATAGAGGTCATAATTTTTATCCGATTTAAAAAACCATAGTATTATATCACTGTTACACCCTAATGACGGCTGAGTTTGAATTTCGTGAAAATCAGCTCAAAATTGACAGACAAAATGGCCGCTGTTCGTTCTCAAATAACGTAAAAATATGGTATATCAAGGTTGTGGACCCTATAGAGGTCACAATTTTTATCCGATTTTGTTGAAACTTGAAATGTAAGTTTATAACCCAAAGATCTTGGTTCTTTTTGATATTCGCGCATATCGGACTGTAACTTCCTGAATTATGGCCCCTGATTGTACGAAAAATTGCGTTTTTAGCTTGTGGACCCTATAGAGGTCATAATTTTTATCCGATTTAAAAAAAACGTATTATTATATCACCGTTACACCCTAAGGATTGCTGAGTTCGAATTTGGTGAAAATTGGCCCAAAATTGACAGACAAAATGGCCGCCGTTGGTTATCAAATAGTGTAAAAATATGGTATATCAAGGTCGTGGACCCTATAGACGTCACAGTTTTTATCCGATTTTGTTGAAACTTGGAATGTAAGTTTATAACTCAAAGATCTCGGTTCCTTTCGATATTCGCGCATATCGAACCGTAACTTCCTGCATTATGGCCCCTGATTGTACGAAAAATCACGTTTTTAGCTTGTGGACCCTATAGAGGTCATAATTTTTATCCGATTTAAAAAACTGTATTATTATATCACTTACACCCTAAGGACGACTGAATTTGAATTTCATGAAAATCAACCCAAAATTGACAGACAAAATGGCCGTCGTTTGTTCTCAAATAGCGTAAAAATATGGTATATCAAGGTTGTGGACCCTATAGAGGTCACAATTTTTATCCAATTTTGTTGAAACTTGAAATGTAAGTTTATAACACAAAGATCTCAGTTCCTTTCGATATTCGCGCATATTGAATTGTAATTTCCTGAATTATGGCCCTTGATACTAGGAAAAATCACTTTCTTGTTAGCTTGTTCTCTATCCATCTCTCGAAAATGTGGGCGTATCCTGCCTGGCAGCCGCTGGTTCTTTATAAAATGTCAACAAAATATTCCAATCCTTGCATAATAGAATTAGGAACACCTCACTATTTTTCATATTTAATTCCCATATGGTTGTGGTATTAAAATGTATGTCCGTAATATTTCCCTACAAAATTACGTGTTTTCATAATACGATAGAATGAAACTTTGCCAATCCGTACCTGCTACAACCTCAGGCAGTAATATTCCTCCAGAATTACATGTCTTGGTTTATACGGCAGCAAATGAAAGGAAGGGGTCCGAAATAATAATATTTGTGGTGATGACAAAACACCATTACCTTCTTCAGAAGTCAGTAGTTTAAAATTACATTGATGG